CCGGGCCGCTTGCACAAGCAGGGGTTGGGAAATCAGCCCTTTCCCCGTGGTGGCTGTGGAAGCAAGGCTGGGGTTTGCCTCTTTGCTTGTTTGTTTTATCGCAGTTAACCCAGAGCCGCCGACGCTGAGCAACGCTGTGTTCCTCTCTTTTTATATCTGCAAAAGCATCTGCAGAACATCAGGTCACTTGTAGGAGGTTTCTTCTCCCTGCAGTCCAGACTCTGTGAGTGCTCATATCGTCTGCTCTGAGGCTTCGTGGAAAAGTGTACGGGCCCCTGTGGGCTGTACTCAAGACAGAAGTTTTCCTTCAGGGACCTTTCTGTCTGCCCAGCAAGGCTGCACCTACAAATAGTCAGGAAACATGCAGCTGGATGTGGTGTACATTTGTGGACTGCTTGTAGTACCACAAGTAAAGTTAGCTGTAGGTGGAAGGACAGTTCCGAGTTTAGGTGTGCTGGTGTAATTCTAAAGTGGCTCCAGAAATGTCAAAATCTGTGATTTTGCTTCCATCCCATGAGGTCCCATTGTGCTGAGTGTGAAGCATGTGTTGTCCCAGAGAAGTTAGTATATACGTAACTTGGGAAACAAAGAAGAAAACAAAATAGCTAGTATTTGGTGTTGTGTTAGGTCATTCCACTGAATTATATAATTGGCCCGGTCTTGCGATCTTTTAATATCCTAAGAGAGCAGAGTTTGTAGAAGGAATGTCATGTTTGTTTGAATTGACAAAATACCCTCTAAATGCATTTTCTTGACAGGAATGTTTACTTTTGAATTTGCATTGTAAAACAGGAGATGAAATAATAAAACAAGAATTGCAAATAATTAATTTGCTGTATTCTGAAAGATTAGAAAATCTTGACCTTGCAATGACTTCTTCCCATTTACACCCAGAATCCTAAGAGGTTCCCGATTCACCTCTGGTAGTAATTGACACCAGGTATAAATGGAGCATTACCTCGAGTGATTCATGGGGCATATTTTGATACATTCTTAATACATATCACAAGTTGTGTTGTAGAGGGAGTTGGAAGGAGGGTAATCAGTCACATGTAAATTTTCTTTGGGCTCAAGATGGTAACCTGGACAAACGCTGACTAATCTAAATCCAAAATTCTTGTGTGAGCGTGGTCAGTTAGGTGCTTCCTTATTTAAAATAAAACCAACACAGCCTCTCAGGTTTTTGTGTGTTGATTATTAATTAGCTTAAGATTGCAACATTTGATTATTTTTCCAAAGCATTATAGTAGCTTCATCTGTGAATCTGGTATTTGGAGTCAGAAGAGGAAAACATAACATAGAGGTTAGATTTCTGTATCTGCAAAGACTTGAAAAGAAGAGTTTTATCTATTTTGAAGGGAGCTTTGTAGCCCTTTCAATAAGAGGCCAAACTTTGAAGCTATTTGGATTCCTAAATAGAAGAAATATCTATTATCACTCAGGTGCTGATCCCTTTCCTGCTATAAATGAGAGCTATACACGTTCAGCATTTGAGAGCAAGATTGCTTTGGTCAGCTGCCCGCCCAGCTTTTGAATTCTAACTTCAGGCTCATAAATTAGCTGCTAACCTAAATAGATGCAACCGTATTGAAGACGGTGAAGTCATACACACTTCTTATGCTAGTGATAAATTTGATTCTGTAGATACAACTTACAATGAAAAATTGCAAAACAATCATTTTTTCCTGTCAAAGCAGACAGCTATTTAGGTTTTCATGTCACAAACATTTCTAAAACAGTGTTCTTTTAGATAAGTCTGTGTAAAGATCTATTAATTTAGAAATTGATATAATAGAATAAGGGAGATACTTTGGTGCAAATCCTTATATCCATACATAGGGCTCTCTTGCTTTCTGGGAAGTCAGCGACAATGTTTCTGTTGATTCTAGAGCAAAAGAGGAAAAACAGGGCATAGTTTCCTCTTCATAGAATTACCATACCAAAGGCAAAGAGGTAAATTCTACTCTTAGCACTTAAATTTTTGCCCGAGAAACATGCCCAAGTGCAGTGTTAAAATCCTTTTAACAGACCTAAAACCAACACACTGCTGTCGTTGCAGAATAAGGGGGGACAGGGGGGTGGTGCTGTTCCTGTCATGTATTTTATGCTGATACAGAGCCTAAGATGAAGTTAGCTGGAATTTCATCAGTATTTACCAGATGCCACAGGATACTATTGTGTTAGACTGCAATTTTCCCTTGGAAGGAATTCAAAGCACCCTTTAGGATTTTTTAAACTTCTATTTTTGTTGGGGTTTTTTGTGTTTTGTTTGATTTTTTTTCTTTCTTTTATCACTTTGCTTATTGCTTGTTGATCTTAATCTACATTTAGGAACCATACTTAAGTGTTCTATGTAATCATTAGAAGGAGAAAAATATTTCCCTCATCACTTTTTCCACCCGCTCTATTTTCTGTCCATGTGTCATCCCTGGGAAATGGGTCAGCTTTACCAAATGTCCTAAAACCCACCTATTTCAAGGATAAACCCTTTCAGGGCAGGCAGTCATCCAGCCTCACAGAAGGCAAGCCTAGAAGTATTCCACTTGAAAAAAAAAAAAAAAATAGACCAATCTGTACTCAAGTTTACCTCTCCATTTAAGAATTAGGAAGTGTTTTCAAACTGAATTCTGCTTGATGGCAGCAAGAGGCAGGAAGGAGTACAGCTGAGAAGTGTGTCGCTTAAGTAGCGGAACTGCTGAACTTAAGGCTTGTCATGCCAAAGGCAGGGAAATTCAGGAATATGAAAATAGAAGAAATTTTCTCCTTTGCCACCTCCTTCAGCTGCTCCCAGTCATGCTGAAGCGCTAGCAATAGGGAGAAGGCAGGTGTAGTTGGAATTAAATGCCCTTCATGAGTGTGGGTGTTTTCTTGGGATGTTTTCTTTGGTTGGTTGGGGTTCACTGGATTCTCTGGAAAAATGTGTAGTAATCAACTGATTAATAGTAGCCAGGTGACCCTTGAAGGCAGTAACAGATGCATGGGCATTTCTTTTTTTCTTTTCTTCGTGTTCGTTCATGCTTGCAGGAGAAATTAGGGACTATACTTGTACCATACCACCTGCCATAAATACACCATGTTTCCAGTAACTGGGCACGCTGCTATTATAGGGTTTTCCCTCCTGCAAGAGAAGCTGCATTCCCCACTGATGACTTCATTAGAAATGGACCTACTGAAAGCTCTTCAGTCCCATAGGAACTGATGCAAATTGTGTAGTGGTAGGTGGATTTTTTAGTTTTTCTGATAACTATGTATAGATGTTAAAACAAATTGTTTGTATGGAATGAAAGTTTAAGAGCAGAATAAAGACAGACAGAGCATTACTGGATATTAAGCAGTGCTGTGGTACACGTGCAACAGGCAGAATGCTCTGTGAGAATACCAAAAATTTTGCAAACTGCATAGACCTAAAGCTGTTCCCCAGCCTGTCTGTCTGCAGTCTACATGCTCTCTTTCTGCAAATCTGGCATGGGCCTGGTGAGGGAAGCCAGCTTTGGCAAGGGGCAGGGGGGCAGCAGTATATTAGATCTCAGATGTACTGATGATGTTCAGAAGCAATAGCTATTACCATGGCTATTACACTTTCCCACTGAAGCTTGTTGGGTAGGAAGGTTGAAAATATTTTGGGGAAAGAAAACATTGGAAGTTGGGCTAAAGAAGTTAGGATAAGGTTTGAACCTTTTCTGCAGGAACTCAAGCCCCATCCTCCTCTGCTTCCCAGCCTCAAGGAAATGCATCTTCTTTTAATTACAGGAAATGGGGTTGGTGGCCAGGTATCTCAGTTATAAGGAACAGCAAAGGGCCAGCTCCTCTGCTTGGCAGGATGCGAAGCCAGCCACACCAGCTAAAGACGTGACCTAGAGTGCCATGGCTGAAACAAAGAGTTTGCAGGCTTTTTGTCCCCTCCCCACCTGAGGCTCCCTCGGCTGCCCACACCATACTTCAAGGTGGGGACCAGGTTGTGCTGGGACTACCTGCTCCAGCAGCCCATGTATTATCCAAGGGGCCACCAGCTGTCCGCAGCCAACACTCGAGCCCTGGGACCTGCAGGGTACCCTTCTGACTGTAAACCTGAATTTTGTTTCTACCCCACTAACCCTCCACACGCTTCTCCCTGGTGCTTGTGGTCACTGGTCTCTGGCTCCTCGGAAGATGGTGTGTCGCAAGCAGAGGGCAGGAGCTTCCCGGTATCGCTCACCACGCCATGGAGCCAGCCATCTGTCAGCAAAACAGGAAGGCACGGGTTCCCTTTCCCTCCTGGGCTCGTTTCACTATTTTTGGGAGCTGTACTTCTCCCCTGCGCAGCGCCGGGCTGGTGCGGTCTGAAGGAAGGGCTCCTGGGCGAGCGAGGGGCCAAAGCCTGGAGCTGCTGCTCTGCCCATCTGCCGCGGCTGGAGGTGTATTCATTATTAATGGAGGTAGTGGCGGTTGCTGCTCAGATATGCAGCCCTGCCTGGGTAAATGAGACATTCTTCAGCAAATTGCTTCGTTTTTTGATTGCTGATTGTACGCGTGTCACCAAGCTGACTCAAGGTTCATCGATGCATGCTCAGTAAATTAGAAAGAACATAACTATGGATCAACCAAGAGAATGAATTCTGTGCCTACAATGACCCAGGGCCATTTAATTTTCTGCTTAATTTTGTTGCAGTCAGTTTGCATTTTGGGTTATTATGCAGTAGGAAATTAACAATAAATAACAAATTTGGTCCTCCTGTGCTTGTAATGATATTTTTATAAATCTTTGTAATGCTGTTTTTAAAAGGATCAAGGTCTGCTCCAGTCTGATACTCCAGCAAGTATGCAGGGAGGAAATAAAGAGAAAAATACATTATTCTTCCTAGATAATCTTATAGTTAAATAGCAAAAGGCTCTTTTTATTTTTTTCTTTCCCCTTCTTTCTCCTTCTGTGTGTGTGTGTGGGGCTGGGTTTTTCTTTTTCTGTGTGTGTTATTTTGCATTAACTTAAGGCTCTTCCTCTCTTCTCAGATAACTCGAGGAAAATGGAAACAGATGAGGCTCAAGATATGTCCCAGGTTTCAGGTGAGGTCCCTAACAAATACTTCTACAGAGAAAATCCTAAATTCCAGTTCATCTTTCTAGCCCTGTACAATGTTTTTCTTGTTGTCAATAAAATTGCTTTGGGTCTTTTTTAAAACCAGAGTGGGAATTGAGATATAATTAATGATATCACTTGATATCAAGCCCAACAGTGCATGGATTTTTTAAAAGGAACTGAGTAAATAAAGAAGTCAAGGGAATATAAAAGCATAAATGTAATTTTGCATTAAACCTGTGGTAGCGTATCCCTGAAGCATGGTCAGGTGCATATTTACACTCTTTATTCTGGGAGCAAAATTCTGATTGTTACAAAATAAATATACAACAAAGTTCACCAGGTGGGAGGGGGCAAATAGTAATTAAAAGCAAACACACTGTATTTACCACATAGGGTTATTTGGCTTTTCCCAGAGCATTGAATTTTACTTATAAACATAAAAAAAAAAAAAAGAAAAGAAAAAAAGAAAGGAATAAAAAAAAAGAGCGATTGACATCGATTGACATGAGACTTTAGGCTTGTAACTGTTTTTGTCCAAGATAGTAATATTTTTTTTAAATTTTAAACAGCAGAGAAGTTAGGCTTCTAAAATTTGCCTTGTAGTGGAAGGATAGGATTTTTCAGTCTTAACCCACATTGCTATTGCTATGAGGAGTTTTTTTTCTTTGCTTCCTTGGAAATTGGTTCCTTAAAAAATTGGCTTAGCAAGATAACACGTATTCATACTGTTGTGCCTTCACAGTTGAAAAAGGTCAGGTTAGTCTCTTTCCTAGCTTCCCTAAGATGTTGACAGCTGCGACGGTTAACGGCTTTCAGTTTTCACTTTTAGTGTTCAGCCAGGAGCACGACAGCCCCATCCCCGCTCCCAGCAGGTACCTGGGCGTGTGGCTCTTTCTCAAGAGGCAGCTCTTGGGTACTGCTGGCTCAGTCATAGGTCTGGGTACAGGGTGGGTGGCTAGGTCGCTAGGTTTTCCCAAAACATATGAACACAATTTTCTTTCCCTTTTTTAACTCTTCCTTTCTAAAATGTTGAGGAGTTTTCTCCAAAATTGGAGTCCAGAACTCTGTGTCATCTGAAAATTAAAATCAAAGCCATTTGCTGTCTGAAAGATCAACAATATAATAACCCTTCATGCCAACAGAAGATTATTAATTGTGTTTAGCATAGGGAAGTTACTCCTAGTCAGCCCTGTGGAGGCAGGTTGCACTCCCCTCCTCAGGTAACAATTTTTAAATTGGATATACCTGCATATCGGTGTTCTGTCACGTGCTGAAACAATTTGTAAGTGAAATAAATCCTGTCCTATACATGCTGTGCTTGGAGCATGTCTGGCCCTAGCAGAAAAAGCAGTGGGATTTTAATATCCATTTTGCAGACAAAGCACTGTGGATCTGCTGGGAGCAGTGAGAGGCACAGAGATTTGAGCCCAGCTCCCTTGCCTGCTGCAGAAACCCTTTTCTTCTTGTGTGAGCTCATGAGGGCAGGAGCACTGCCCTTCACTTCCTCTGCAGCAGCGCAGGCTCCACTGGGTATCCACACCTAAGCTTTGTGATGGTCTTTACAATGGCACTAACTTGAGCTCCACACCTGCCACCTCTGACCAGGGCACTGCTTTTTTTCCTTTTGATGTGGGGAGGAGCAGTGTGGGAAATGCTGCCTTGAGCCAAGGATCTCGGGATTAGACATTAGAAGGTCATGTGCTTTGCCTTCCTTGTGGTCTGCCGCTCCCCTCGAGAGAGAAGATTTGCAAGAAACTTTAGCGTTTTGAATGTTTGTGTATATGTAAATATAAACTTAATATATGTATATCTATGTATATAATTTGTAGCTCAAAGTTTTTCAGGATTTGAGCCACTACAGTACTTTCCTGTGCTCTTTAGCTTTTCTAGCAAATCATGCTGATGAGAATACTACTCTGCTGTGATGAGAGAAGGCTCCCTTAATTAAAAAGTAAAATATATCAGTGTAAGAGGAATTTTACCTCCAATAAAAGGCAGACCTACAAAAACAGGTTACAGAAAAAAAAAAACAAAAACCAAACCTGTTTTGAACTCTTCCTGCTGTTCCCGTCACCAAGCATCTGGTACTTTCTGTGAGCAGAGGCTGTGGGTTGTTGGCCAGTTGTTCACAAATCCAGCTAAAGAAAGGACTTGCTAGTTTACTTTCATTTATGATCTGAGTTATGCGCGAACTCAGCCTTCTGGAAACAGGAGTTTGTCAGAATAGGTTCCACAAATATTGGCTCTTTAAGGTCTTACTAGACCTGAAAAGTAGAGGATCTGAAGGTACACAGTTGTTGACTAGTTCTTTCTCAGAGGTTGGTGAATCCATAAAGGAGTTTTCCTCCTCTTCTCCTCCTCCTGGGTTTCTACATGCTTCTAGGATGCTTCCTTGCATGATAAAGGAACTCTGCTATGTACTGGGAACCAGTTGGACAATTGTATAGTTTCAGGTGTGTGAGATTATCTTGTCAGCTGAAAACCACACTTATTTTTTCCTCCTGCTCTATGAGTAATGCTCGTCAGGTGTAGCTTACCCTCTGAGCCTATGGAACTAGATGACTTGATTCACCAGCACGTGAACCAAGTGGTTGTGTTTTTTAAAAATAAATTAAAAATTAGAATTAGTTTGGGGTGTTTCTTTGGGTGGTTTAGGTTTTGGCTTTTTTTAACCCAGAAATAAAATAGGTCTCTAGAAACAATCTTTTCAGCTTAAAAGCAGGCTTTTGTAGCCATGTGCTTTATGCAGCTGTAGCTGACTCAGGTGTGTCTGGGGCAAGCTGGGCCAAGAGAGTATAAAACTAGCATGAGTGAGCCAAACCCTGCATGCATTCCCACTTCTGGGAATCCAGGCATGGCTGGCTCCTAGAGGAACTGAAATACTGTGTGACTAGCGCGGAGTTCACACTTTTTATTTTTCTCCTGAAAGTGATATTTCATGAGACAAGCAGTTGCAGTTCTGAAATGAGGAGAGAGCTGACATACATTTAACCAAATGGTATCCGGCACCCATACAAGAGAGTCAGAAAACACAGATAATATCTCACTTAACAAGCAGTATTTTTCCTGCCTTTTTTTCTTTTTCTCTTCTTTTTTTTTTTTCCTCAGTTCTAGACCCTAAGAGTTAAGGAAGGCAAAAAAAACAGTGCAAATATTTCCACATCTAACATAAAAAGATCCCCTAGCACCAGTCAGGCTGTGCTGTGCTCTGCCAAAGCATGAAGGAGAGTTTTGCATTTGATGTTCTTGCTAGGTCCCGGGAAGCTGGAAATGAGTGTGTCCTGGGCTGGTGTCTCCTAACTGAGAGCCTGGCTCCCATCCCAGAGCACCTCTCATCACTGGAGGTTTGAGGTTCTACTATCAAAAAAGGGACATGGATTGGGTTGTGACCCTCATCTGGAAGAATGTGTATATTGATTTTCTTGCATAACTTCTCCAGTGGCTCTAGTGTTTCCATAGGAAACAACCCTCAGGTATTGAATACAGACAACATTGCTTTGAGAAAGGATAGAGAATGAGATTTCTGTAAGAAATCCTGCCTTAGCTCCAGCAGCACCATCCTGGCATGAGCTGGCATGAACTGAATTGTTCTCAGAACTGAATGGAGATGTTAAAGAAACACCAGGCTAAGACCTTTGGTAGGAATAAAGGATGCATAAAACATTACTGGGCTGGCCAGTTTGTTCCCTTCCTCTCTTTTCTCATGTCTTTAACTATATTGCTAGGGCAGACATGAGGAAATTCAAGCAGGGAGAAGTTGAGGGTCTTACCAGGCACAGGTTAGGCACTTCTCTGGCAATTTTCATGTAGAAATAGCAGTGTTTGGAAATCTGAGACTATCATCTTTCAGAGCTTCAGGATGAATCGGGAGAATGTGTGATACAGCCTGCCGTTGAAGTTATCTCCATTTCTGACTTAAACAAGGGCACTGTGAATCAGGGACAGTGCCAGAAACAGAGCTTCAACTCTAGAGCTCCCTTGTCCTTTTTGTTTGATGTATCTGGTGGGTCTTTAGAAAACTTAAAAAAAAAAAAAGAAAAAAAGAAAGACACCCCTGCACCCCAAGATTAGATTGCATTGTTTATGTTTCACATATTATTTTTGAGGAAAAAACATATAAAATGGGAAAAGAGGAAATCTATGGTACTTTGCTCTGCTATGTGACATTTTTATAATTTACCCCAGTACTTGCCACTAGGTGTGGTTTGGGGTTTTTTTAGCTCCATCCCTTTGTCCAGTTACTGTTCTGGACATGTCTGTTAGAAATTAAATGGGAAACTGTTTCCTCCTTTTCTCTACCTCTTTACCATTTCCCAATTCATTGGCAAAAAGGATGTTGGTGAGATTGTATGTCTGTAAGATTACCACGCAGTAGTGAACTTACCATGGTGTAACAATTTAGATGTAGTTAAGGCATGAAATACAAATATCGTGCTCTAGAATCCAAGACGCAGAGCTCAACAAACACATCTATTTTAAATCCACTATTTTTACCCTGCCTTTTTGCATGCAGGGATTTCTCGATCATGTGTAACAGGAAGAAATCAAATTATATTAAATGAGTCATTAAAGCCAAATTTACTAGGTTTTCTTAACTGCAGTCATCTGCAAAGAGGGAAGTGTACCAGATCAGCTTCTGCCCTACCAAGTCCATGAGGCCAGTCTGATTCATGCCACCTGGGCAAACAGCTATTAATTTAACAAGAAGATTGATATCTGTTTAGTGAAACAAACAGTTCACCATAAGCTGCAAAAGTACTGATCTACTACCAGGTTCCTATTCCAAAAGACTGCTTTGACTTACCTTCAAAGCATCCTACTTAGCCTACTTATTGTAGGATGCCTAATTACACACTAAGATAATGCTATCTGTTACCTCATAGGTGCAACATTATGTGTTTATATTGGTTTGCAGCCAAAAAAGCCTTCAGGTTTTTAGCGTGAGTGTTCTTCTTAATCTAGACCAAGTCAAAGCATCAGCATCCGTTGTTGTAACTGGGAGCACAATTTGAACCCTGGAAGATGCAGTTTTATCATATTTCCTTAACCTAAATGTAGTGCCAAGAGAGCAGGTTCTGACTGTTGTGGTTTAACCCAGCAGGCAGCTAAACACCACACAGCCCTTCTTCACTCATTCCCTCCTCCCGGTGGGATGGGGGAGCGAACTGAAGGGAAAAAAATAAAAAGGACGATTTGTGGGTTGAGATAAAAGAATTTAATAAGACAGAAAAAGAAGGGAAAATAATAATCATAAAAGAATATGCAAAGTGAGTGATGAACAGTGCAATTGCTGACTGATGCCCAGCTGGTTCCAGAGCCATGGCCCCTGGCCAGCTTTCCCCCTAGTTTATATACTGACCATGACGTCATGTGGTATGGAATATCCCTTTGGCCAGTTTATGTCAGCTTCCTTGTACTGAAAAGAAGCTTCCTCAGCAGGACAGCAGGTTTTGGTCCTAAGAATGTCATGCTTCTAGTAGTGTTTAGAATTTTTGTTAGATTTTTATTTGGTTTTTGGTTCCTGTTATGGTATTATTTGAAAATGAGGCTACGCTGATGACTAACGGATGCTACTTTCTTCACTACTAGGAAAGGAAAGTCCTCCAATTAGTGATGTCCCAGATGATGCAGATGAACCTATGCCTGTACCAGAAGACCTTTCAACTAGTACTGGAGGACAACAGAGTGCTAAGAATGAGAGAGTCTTGGGTAAGATGACGAAGTTCACTATGATAAGAAATAGTAGTATGTCATATAATATGCCAATCATGTTACTGTTGAGTAAGCTGGTATACAAGTAGGTCCTGTGCCTTTTCATCTTGTTCAGCACAGGATTACTCAGGTGATTAGTGATTTCTGTGCAACCTTCTCTTTGGGAAAAGTATTTAAGGACAGCAAGCCTTTTCATCTACAGAGAAGTTATAAAGATCCTACTATTTATCTTATTTCTAAAGGGTGACTGATTATGTTAAATTCTCCCCAGGAAAGATGGCTTTCCTTCTGTGTAGGAAATGGAATTAAATACATGGTTCCAGGTCAAGATTATCTGAAATCAGATTTGATAAAAATTAAGTAAATTTTCAGATATTTTTCTTATTATTTTTATCATTAATTTGAATGCTACCTTGAATGTTATCTGCTATTCAGATTTCTCCAGAAATGCCAGCATTCATATCTTTCAGATTTCAATATCTGATCTTCGTTTATCCCTTCTTATTTTTAACTGGGAGAACTTTAGAGAAAACACTTGAATTTTGTTCTTCTAGGTAGAAGTCCACAATTTATAAAGTCTGTTGGATTAAAATAAATAATTGTCCAGAGATGATTTTGTGAAATGCTGATTCTTCTTAGGGATCCCAGACTCCACAACAGGGACTAGCAATACTGCTGACTACTGCATGCGTCAGCTCACATGTAGTCCATCAAAAAAGACTAGATGATATTGCTTGAGCACATTACTTGTTTACGACAACACCCCCTCCCCCCACCAAAAAAAAACCACCAAAAAAAAAGCACAATGACTCCCAGAATGCTGTGATTAATGCCGTATGTGATAAAAAAGTTTCAGTGGAGGAGTGACTATCAAAATATGTTTGTTTATCCGCAAATAAAAGTATTTCTCATAATGTTCAAATTCCTATTGTAAGAATGAGGATCAGGGTGCAAGACTGTTTACAGAAAGGTTGAGAGTGCCTTTACATGTTTATTGTCTAAGGAAGTCCAATAAAGGAGTGTAGCTGGAAAGGGAGGCACAGAACGCAAAATAAATAAGTGAGGGTAGTACAGCAGGATGGTGTCAGCTTTAGGAATAGACCCTAATCTCAAACATTAGCACTCCAGTAGACAATGCAGCATCTTATGCATCTTCACTTTATTTGCCACTTGATCCCTCTTACCAAAATGTGAGCGTAAAGTTCAGCTCCTACGTGCATTTTGAAATACCTAATGAACAAATTATATTTTAAAAATGCTTTTTAATAATCTGATCACTTACCTGGTGCTTGTTTCTCAGTCCAAAGCTTTTTGGACAAAATCTTACCTTTACTGCTTATGTGTCAACTCAGTAAAATGAGTTAGGCCTCCTTTCCCCCACAGTAATAAAACCTTACAAAACATTTAAGTGTTGATTTAAAAAATAATAATAATGAAAAAAATCCCTTGTTCAAACCCAAATAAACAAACAGGTTTGATTACATTGAATTTACTTGACCTCACAATTATCACAGAACCAGCAAACATGAATTTAATATTTGCTGATATTGTAATGATTCTCCCAAAATTCAATAATATGTCAATATAAAGACAGAAGTTACTGTAGTAAAAGAAGGAGAAAATGTTATCTTTGGTGTCCTAAATATGATAAGTTCCATCAGTTGTTCCCGTTAGTTTTACTTTTTGCACTCAGCTATAAATTACATTTTTCCATGTCCTGACTTCAACATTATTTCTACAGCCACTGACTCTACCCATAGCTCTTTGGATTTGAAGGGTCAGATCTTGTAGGGAGATATCTATCATAGTCAAAAGACAATTCACAGTAGTCTGTTTTATGAATGAACTTAACTGTAGGTATCAACTCTAGGGCTTGCAATGTTTGTCTTTTCTGTAAAGCTGCACACACTTTTCTACTTCTTTTCTTCTACGTCTCCTTTTTCTATCCCTAAACTAACCTTCTGAAAACCATACACTGAAAAAAATTAATTCTCCTTTTTTACAACAAGGGTCTGAACACATGCCCCAAACATATCAGGAGTCAAAGGATTGCAATGCACATTCTGGGTCATCATCACAAGAAAATGTGTTAGGGGTAAACCGATGACTTAGGAGTGGTGTTTGGCCCATATGTTTCCATAGATGTATTAGAGAGGCAGGGGACGGTCTTTCTGTGTAAGGCAGTGTCACGGCAGTGTAGACAGGCTTGGTGTTCAGTGCCATGTTGTCATGTCTTAAGACCTGTTTCTCACCTCTGTTTGTCACCAAAATTAGGTAGAACAGGATGAACTGAAAAAGTAGTTTGAAGAATGATAGATAGGCGGGAGAGTATTGCAAAGACCCACCAATACGATATAGGTCTCCTGGCTGGGAGATAGACTGTGGCCTGTGACAACTGAGAGGCAACACACGTGAGCAGATACGACCAGGCAACAGTTCTTCTCTACATGACTTTCCAAATGTTCCATCTGCTTCCTTAGTCGAAAGCTAATCCCCTACGCACTTTTCTGTATTTCAGCATGATTTACAGTGCGTTCCACTTAATCTGTAATGCCCTGAGAGATCAGCTGCCATATGGCATGAACTGAGGAAAGGTAATTTAAGTCGGACATTTATGGAAGAGGGCTACTAAGCTCTGGAGGACTTTTTTTGCACATGTAGCGTTAGAGAGGTAACAATGGAAATTTCAGGTTTGCTAAATGAGAAGAGTAAGTATTTACCTCATCTTATTAAAATTAGGTGAGAAATCCGTGGTTAATTTTAATCAGCCTGTGAGATAGCAATGTTCAAATGACCATTTTCTTGCTCAGATTTTCAGTAACACTTCATGAAACTTTTCACCCTGGAGTCACAAGTTTAATTACCTTTTTCATCAATTTAGCATTATAAAGGTCAAAGATTAGGGGAAGTAAGTTATTTTTAGAAAAGAAAGATAGGCTCTAGCTCCTCCCCATGTTTTCAAAATGTCCTTTCTTGTTTCTTCCAAACCTAGACTGAGACTCGAATGTGGTGCTATAGACCTGATAGAATCATTTGAAACATTTCTCCTGCTCTGAGAATGAAGGTGTAGTAGACTTCAGAAGTTAAAGTACTCAATTCACTTGCCAGATCTTATTGGGTGCCTTCATATTTCAAGTGTCTCACTTAAAATTTCTAGAGAGGATACAGATTTCACAAGAGAGGCCCAGAGAGGATCATGAAATTAATGCTTTGACTTGTGGCCCCAGATGGAGGCACCCAAGACCTGGGTTGCTTCTGAGTGTTGCAAAAATAATAAGTAGGTGTGAAAAGGTCATTTGTGGAAGTAAAGTCATTAACAGTTTCTAGTAATAACCCCAAGTGGCACAGCAAAGCAGAAACATATTAAAAGACGTGTTCTAGTCATTGCTATGTCTCTTAATTTCCTTGACAGTCTTGCTATGTTCTTAATTTTGTAACTCCCAGAATGCCAGGATGTGTTGAGCAGCTGCTGCTCTGTCCACTAGACCTTCTTCCTTCCTTCCTCTTCTCCACCCCAAATTTCCTCCTCAGGGTGATCTAGCACCTATAACTTTTTTATTATTTTATTTATTTATTCTGCTCCCCCACCTGCTCTACATTTAGTTTCTCTAGAACACAGAGGGAATATTTTCAGCCCAGCAAAGAGCTAGATTTTCACAGCTCTTTAAGGCACTAGAGACTGTGTTTTATTATCTCTCCTAAATATCCTTTTGAAACTTTGATCTAAGTTACTCAGAAATACACGTCCCACTGAAATTCCATTCCATTAAGTATTAGTGCTTTGCAGCCTATTTTGGGTGGGCAGCCCTACTTCCCATGCTAACCTATAACACAGGAGCTGATTTGAAATATCTTCTACTGATTCTTACTGTCTCCATTCAAGTTTCAGCTTAAATATTGTGTGCACCTTTTGTGGATAACCAATACTGAACATCCTGTATGTGGGAGACGGTTGCAATTTAGGGCTGTTTCTGCCCTGGGACCATATCCTAATTCAAGCCATGTGTGGAAGCTAATGATTCATTGAGCTGTAGGTCAGACTCTACTTTATGCAGAAAATGTCATTTGCCTAGAAAGGCAAGCAGTACCTTCCTTTACCCATAACCGCCCATACTGTAGCTGGCCATCAATGGGTTAAAAAAAAAAGAGCCATCTCCCAGTGTTACTGGCCTCAGGAAGTGGCTGTGGGCTCACCATTTCTGCACAGGCAGATGTCTGATGCTGAAGGTGACCATTTAGACTTCCGAAACAGAAGTCAAGGACTTCTCACTGGGAAAAAAAAAAAAAAAAAAAGTGATAACCCCCATAGTCACAGATCACAGTCTGGATCTGGAATATATAGTGTGTACAGACACTCCTCTTTCTGAGAGGAAGAATTTGTGAATTGGGTTGAAACTCTTGGACAACTGATAGAAGATGCCCAAAGTAACAAGTCCAGGTGGTCCTAGACATCAATAGAAGACAGGTGAGATTTATATAAATCTAGAAACTCTCTATTTGTTTAAAATAAAGGACACTAGTATGAGAAGAAACATTAAAAGGATGGAGCTGCTTGACATTTTTTTCCTTCGGTGGGAAATGTCAAGTGACTGATGTTACCTCCCTCCCACAACCCAGTTGTTGAAGCAGAAGCCTGTGTAGCTGCAGAGCCTCGGTGCGTGGCATTGCTAGGAACCTGGCATTGCCTTGGCATACTGGGGTCTCCCCTCCCAGCCATGGCCATTCGCAGGTGGTAGCCTGCACGGGTAGGTAGTTACTGGTGCGGGCTGGTGTCCTCACTCTGAGCTGCTTCAGTGCTTTATTTCCTTAAAAGGAGCTCAACCATTAGCCAGCACAGACAGGAGCATTGCTGAGGGGCCACCAGGCCAACCACAGCAGCTTGCCATTACACAAATCTGCTGCAACTCGCACATAGCTGGGTGGAGGCAGGGTAAAAGTGTGGAAAGGCTGCAGTCGGAGGGGAGGAGGGAGAAAAGCCAAAAGGGGAAGTGCCCCAC